AGTAAAACTAGCCCAGGTAGAATAACCGTACTTTGAGTGTCTTCACAGATGAGATTCTTCCTCGAGGTGCAGCCTGCTCGTGCGCTCACAGAATGGGGCGCGCGCATGCACAGCGCACAACCCGCAAACTTGCAACTTCCGCCATTTTCCCGCCCAACTGGATTTTTAGGAAAATACAAGAAATAAATACGAAGAATTATAAACTTTCCCCCTGTAAATAGCTTCTAATAGAACATTTTTAAACATAGTTCTGTTGGCAAAATTGTAGAACTTGAAGGCTGTTGCACAACTACTGGAAAATGTCATTCTGCTTTCTTTCAGTTTTTAATATTCTTTTATAATAATAAAAGAATATTAAAAACTTTTTAAAAAGTTGTTGGTTCGAAAAGTTTAAAAATCTGTGTAAAAAGTAACCCTTTACTGTGGATGTGATATATAAAAGCTTTATTAAACTACCACTAAATCCTTTACTCTAAATTCAACCTATTGGCTATCATTTTCAGTGCAATAAAATAAATCTGATAGTGTTTACCGATTTTCTATCTCCAAATAATATCATTCACAATAAATTAGAAACCATTCACCTGCTCAATCTCGTTGCGCATAGAGTCTGCACTGCCATCTGCTGGAAAGCTATACAATTGCACGTTCACTGCTAAATGTGATTGTAACATTGCACACGCTCATACTTGTATTGATATAACTTTGACGAGGCAACAATAAAAAATAGAGCAAATAATAATTGCTGTGTATTCCTATTATTGTTCCCAAGCTCCCCAAGACAAATGCTGAGGACAGAACAGTGTAAAATCAGTGCCAGATCAAAAATGCAGATTATTAGGAATGAGATTTCCATATCAGTTGGGACCCAAGTTAACAACACTTATCAAACACTGACTCTCTGATGATTGTATTGGAGAGCAGCTCATTGTTCACTATTTTATGTGTGCTGAAGCAGCCAGCGGCTGAACTGCCAACCCTCCAACTAGCAGATGAGCTGGTCTACCTGAGCTACAGCCTGCTGACAAGACAAGGGGAAGGGGGGAAGGTGTGTTAGGAGGCAGTGAGGGTGACAAAAAAGCAGGAGTGTGGAGGTGAGAGGTGGGACCATGACTGATAAAGGGAGATGGCAGATGGTATGTAGAGAAGGAAGGCAGATATAGTGTGTTTGTGTGTGTACAGGAGACCAGGTGGAAAGGAAGCAAAGCCAGGAGCACTGGAGGTGGATTCAAACTATTCTACCATGATGGAGAAGGAAAAATAGAGTAGTGGACAGGAAGAGTATGGGAATAGTGTTGTGCAGGTGAAGAGAGGGTCAGACAGGGTTGAGTTTGAAGCTGCAAATCAAAGGAGTGATGTGCAATGTTGTCAGCGTGTATGTCCAATGGGCGGATGTTAGCTAGAAGAGAGCTAGATGAAGTGGAGGAGGGTCTCCCCAGGGTGGAGAGCATTGTGAGGGGGATGTAGGTGAAGGCTGCAGAGGCGATGGGGAGGTGTTTAGGAGGCATGGTGTTAAGGAGAGAAATGCAGAGCGTCAGATGGTGTAGATTTTCTGAAATGAATGGAAATGGCTGTGGTGGACATGAACTTTAAGAAGGGGGAGGCAGATAGGAGGACGTCAGAATTGAAGAAAGCGAACACAGGTGGACTCGTGCTGAAAATGCAACATGAAAGTGGTAGGAGACTGTAAGGTGGTGGCAGGGGAGGATGTAGGTAGGGAGCATCAGATGGTAGTCTGTAGGATGGCTTTGGACATCAAGAAGAGTAATCAAGTGAAGGCAGAGCCAAGGATTAAATGATGGGAGCTGAAGAAGGAGGAACGTCGCACAGAGTTCAAGAGGGAGTTGAGATGCTAGGGAAGAGTTACCAGCTGGGAAACTACAGCTGAATTAATGAGGAACCTGTCAGGAAGGTGTTTGGTGTGTCCTCTGGACTAAGGAAAGAGGACAAGGACACTTGTTGGTGAAATGACAGCGTAAAGGAAAGTATTTAAAGGAAGAGGTTGAAACAGTCAAGGAGAGATGGGAGTACAAAGACTGGCAAAAAGGAAAATGCTTCACTGAGGAGGGAGACTCAATTAGTTAGCTCCAGATGTCACATCAAATACATCAGAACTGCGTGACTATAAACAGATCTATAGACTAATGTACACTTATACTTGTCATCTGTGTGAGCTAGCTGAAGCAGTTTATGTAAGCCATCTTTTATATCCTATGCCTAACACTTCACATATATATTCTTTATATATGCTAAGATCTTTCAACTTAAACACCTTGATCCATGTACTTAAGCAATAAGATAAAATGATATAATCTATATTTATAATATAATATATCTTTTTTCCAAATTGTTTGACACAAGCAATAACAAAATGGGTTATCCATCCATTAATCCATTTTGTCCGCTCATCCAGGGCCGAGTTGCAGGAGCAACAGCCTAAGCCCAGACTTCCCTCTCCATAGGCATCACGTCTAGCTTGTTCCCAGGCCAGCCGAGAGATATAATCTCTCCAGTGTGTCGCGGGTCTCCCCCAGCGCCTCGTCCCAGTGGGACATGCCCTTAGAGATAGGATGAGGGGCTCAGAGTAGAGCAGCTACTCCGCCACATTGAAAGGAGCCAGCTGGGGTGGTTTGGGTATCTGACAAGGATGCCTCTCCCAGGAAATGCCCAGGAGGGCTTCCTGAAAGAGGCCAGCCACCCTTCCAAGAGAGCTCCTGTCCACTGCTATGATGTCATTCTTTTGGTCACCTTGAGCTTGTAAACATAAGTGAGGGCGGGGATGTCCTGACCAGTAAATGGAGAGCTTCGCGACTGGTACAGCATCCTCATCACTGCAGCCACAGTACCATCTGTCAATCTTCTGCTCGCCTCTCCCATCACTCATGAAAAAGACCCTGACATACTTAAACCCAGAGTGGGCACTCCACCCCTTTTCCAGCTGAGGACCATGGCCTCAGACTTGGAGGTGCTGACTGTCATTCCCACCACTTCACACTCGGCTGCAAACCACTCCAGTATGAGCTGGAGTCCACCATAGGATGAAGCCAACAAATCCACATCATCTGTGAAAAGCAGAGATGAGATTCTGGACCACCCAAGTAGAAGCCCTCGTGCATACAAATTATGAACACAATCGGTAATAAAGGGCAGCCCTGATGGAGTCCAACACCTACCAGGAACGAGGGTTAGGGTTATGTTCAATAAAGCCAAATAAACGCATTGTTCTATAAATAAGAAAGGAAAGGAGGACCATTAAACAGAAAAAACATACAATAATAAAATCAAATACAATAAAAGGTAAAAATTGCAATCACAATAACTAAATACAGAAAGAATCTAGACAACATACCAAGTGGCTGACGTTCAGTTAATAAACACTAAACAGACTCCAAATTTTGAACGACCAGAGCATCAAGACTCTTGTGAAACCTTTATGTGACTGTATGTGCACGACTATATTTTGAATGTTTGTGTTTTTGGTCAAGATTTAGAAAATGACCAGTGATCGTATCCAGAACTGTTAGAAGCGTAAATTTCCACTGCAGCTGACGCTCTTTATTATCCAACCCAGATGAAACAGTGATGGTTTGGTGTGGTATATGGGGTACAACGATAGTGGGTCCATTCTTCATCAATGGAAACCTCAAGGCCACTGGATATTTGAAATTGCTACATGATGATGTGTTTCCCTCTTTATGCACTGAAGCTGGCACGTTCCCTGAGTTTTTCCAGCAAGATGGTGCACCACCACATTATGGGTGCAGGTCCGAGCATTCCTAGATGAACAGTTTCCTGGAAAGTGGATTGGTCGTCGTGGGCCAGTTGAATGGCCCCCAAGGTCTCCCGATCTGACCCCCTTAGACTTTTATCTTTGGGGTCATCTGAAGGCAATTGTCTATGGTGTGAAGATACGAGATGTGCAGCACCTGAAACTACAGATACTGGATGCCTGTGCTGGCATTTCTCCTGCGGTGTTGCTATCAGTGTGTGAAGAGTGGGAGAAGAGGGTTGCATTGACAATCCAACACAATGGGCAGCACATTGAACACATTTTATAAGTGGTCAGAAACTTGTAAATAACTCATGAAAGAATAAAGTTACGTTGAAACCAAGCACACCATTGTTTTTCTTGTGACATTACCAATAAGTTTGATGTGTCACATGGCCCTCTTCCTATTGAAAAAAACAAAAGTTGTATCCAAGATGGCCGACTTCTAAATGGCCACCATGGTCACCGCCCATCTTGAGGAGTTTGCCCCTCACATATACTAATGTGCCACAAACAGGACTTTAATATCACCAACCATTCCCATGTTATTACGCTGTATCCATAGAAATGGCCCACCCTGTACTTTGAAGTCAGGTTGACCTGAAAATCCTTGTCTTTGTTACTTCCAGCACAGACAACTGTAATTATTAGAATGTCCCCATAGGTGTCTGAAAAGCCTCCAGCTGATTCAAAATACTGCAGAGAGAGTACACTGATGGGGACTGGGAAGAGTCATGTTTCTCTTATTAGCATTTCTTCTCTGGTTTCTTGTTAAAGCCAAACCAAGATTTCAAAAGCTTTGCCTTACATGCAGAAACCTCAAAACCAACCTTCATAAATACCTTAATTACAAAATGAATTAAATAGAGGGCTTTGCTGTCAGGCTGCAGGCGGTTTTTCAAAAGTAGAATGGGCGGTAAAGCCTTTAGCTGTCAGAGTGCTCTCCTGGAAAATCAGGGTTTTGTTTTAAAGGCGTACTGCCTTGACCTTTAAAATGAAGCTTCAAACTGTCCATTTTCATGAAAGCTGAAGCTGTAACTGTGGATGGAGGCTGAGAGTTGATGAGGGAACTCCTGTTTTTCCTCTCTGCCCTCCCTTTACCTTTCTACAAGTGCTTCTAGGTGTTTACTCTTTTTACTTATTATTACTTTATAAAAACAACAACGCTTGTATATAATATAATAATGATGCAGTCCAGTTCCTTGTGATCCATTCCAGTAGCTCTTGGAGCTAGAACGCAGTGCATTGTGGGACGTAGTATGATGGTGAAGTCAAGATGGCTGCGAAGCTCAGGCAGAGGAGAGAGCCTGTAGTAGGAAGGCCGTGAATGAAGTTTTCTATAGAAAATCCTTCGTCGGTGCCCGATCGGACTTAAAGCAGCGCGCTGTTTACGTTGGAGAGAAGCCGCGCAGGACCTACAACACCCACAAACAGCAACAGGATAACAAACTGCTGGCATAAAGTCTCGTATGAATTCCGACGAGAAGGAGGACTGTGAGTGTGCGCCACCACAGGCCGAGACGAGCTCCGCCGGAGGAGCCGATAGGTGGGGATGCTCAGAGGAAAGGCTCGGGATGCTAGGACGATCAATCAGAGCGGGGGCTAGTTAGCTGTTGTTGGAGGCTGTGTGGACGTCAGTGCTCCTTTGTTTCAGGCAACACATTGGGGCAAAGTTTATAGCAAGCACTGGTTAAACGAAAACGAAAGAAATCTGCCCGCGGGTCACTTTGAAGACATTACTTTTGTATGAGTAACAAAGTAGGCTAACTAGCATCTGCTGTGTTAGCTTGCTAAAGTGAGCGACAGATTGTCCCAGTGGCAACATTTTTGGGCTTTACCAGCCCGTCCACACTGGACTACAGGGTTTAGGTTAATGCTACATTTTACAAAAGAGATAAAATGAATAATCTACATAGATGATTACATTTACTGCGACCCCGGTCACTAAGTGGAAGCCAGTGCTTAGCTTTAAAAATAGTTAGACTGTTGTCCTCTTCTACACAGCTCGACCAATTTCCTGAGCAGGACTCTGACTTTGTTACCCCACAGCAGAGCCAGCAGTACTCTGAAATGTCAGTGTAGTCATCATGACCTGTGCCGTGGTTCTTATCCTTGTTTGTTGTTCATTTAGAGAACACGAGGAGCCTGAAATAGAAAACCCAGAAGCAAGCCGAATGTAAGTCAAACTCATTACCTTCCATGTGTGCAGTTCAGGAGCTTGGTGTTAGGGTCTGTCCTCGCTTCTTTCTTGTCTTCATCTTGTGCCTTGACTAAATGTTGTCAGCTGTATTGTTAGTGTGATACACACCCAGTTCATCTCAGCAGCTGTCACACTGTTTGCTCATGATGTGAACATTTGAAGGACCGTTGGCTTAAATAAAACATAATTAAAGTACTTCAGGTTAAAGTGCTTTAATTATGCATGGAATTTATGGAGCTTTGAGTTTACATTATCAGTTGTATCTGTACCTGTGAATGAATAATACTGCTGTTCTATTAGTATTGCTTCAGTGTTTACCAATACGACTGCAGCTGGAAGGCTGCTGTCTTCTGGACAGTGGTGTAATTAGCAGAATCAGAAGGTTTTTGTCAAGTTTGAATTTATTCTAAACACTGATAATAAATCTGTCGTGACACTTGACCTGAAAGTGGCTGGAAATGCAACACGTCCAAAGCTCCATAAGCCCGAGCTCAGCATCCAGCCTGAGACCAAGCTCAGCTCTTGTGTTGTCTGTTGACAGAAACTCTTAGTGATTCTCAAGTGGGAAAAGCATTGCAGTCAATCTCGCGTCTCCCATTATTTCACATTGCACTCAGTGCTTTATGAGGATCACAGTGGATTCACGCAGTGCTTTTACCGCCTTGTGTTTTACCTCTGATCACAGGAAGCGAGCAGCTGCCAAGCATCTAATAGAGCGCTATTACCACCAGTTAACGGAGGGCTGTGGGAATGAGTCTTGCTCCAACTCGTGGTGTGCCTCATCAGTTGGCTTCAGCCGCATGGATAACAACGAGGCAGCGGTCAAAGCCCTGGAGCTCTACAAAGTCAATGCCAAGCTATGCGACCCACACCCTTCAAAGAAAGGCACCGCTTCCACCTACCAGGAGAGCAGCGCTCACAGCAACTCTGCGTGCAGCAACAAGAAGATGAACCATAAGGACATCCACTCTGTGCGAGACAATTTTAAAGGTGAGCAGATTGCGCTGTTTCACTCGTGCAGTTTGTGTTTTTGTTTTTCTCTGGTAACAACATTTGTGTCTGTGTGTAGATGTAAATTACCTGACAGAGGAGAAGGTGTATGAGATCCTGGACACCTGTGGTGAAAAGGAGGATTACTCCCCTCTCATCCGAGTGATAGGCCGAGTTTTCTCCAGTGCTGAGGGACTGGTGCAGAGCTTTCGGAGGTCCAAACCGCACACCAAGGAGGAGCTCAAGTCTCTCCAAGGTAAGGACGAGGACAAGGATGAAGATGAAAAGGAGGCAGCTGCGAGTTCAACTACAGCTATGGAGGAGGATTCCCCCACCTCCTCATCATCATCGAGGCTCGGCGAGTGCTCGTCGGGAGAAAACGACGTCCAAAAGCTGGCTCCCGATGAGGTTTCGGTCGATATCGAAGCTGTGCGAAGGGTCTACGAGCGCCTCCTGTCCAATGATAAAATCGAAGCCGCCTTCTTGAATGCGCTGGTCTACCTCTCGCCTAATGTGGAGTGTGACCTGACGTACCATAACGTGTATTCACGAGACCCAAACTACCTGAACCTTTTTGTAATAGTGATGGAAAACAGCAACCTCCACAGCCCCGAGTACCTTGAGATCGCTCTCCCACAGTTCTGTAAGGCCATGAGCAAACTCCCGCTGGCAGCTCAGGCCAAGCTGGCGCGTTTGTGGTCGCATTACAGCGCTGAGCAGATCCGGCGCATGGTGGAGACCTTCCAGCAGCTCATTACCTACAAGGTGATCAGTAACGAGTTCAACAGCCGCAACCTGGTCAACGACGACGACGCTGTGGTGGCGGCCACTAAGTGCTTGAAGATCGTCTATTATGCAAATGTGCTGGGTGGCGACCTTGACATGGAGCACAACGAGGAAGAAGACGAGGAGCCCATTCCAGAGTCCAGTGACCTCACCCTGCAGGAGCTCCTGGGTGAAGAGCGCAGGAACAAAAAGGGCCCTCGAGTAGACCCGCTGGAGACAGAGTTGGGAATCCGTACAAGCGATTGCCGGCGGCCGCTCATTCCCTTTGAGGAGTTTGTCAACGAGCCTCTGAACGAGGTGTTAGAGATGGACAAGGACTATACTTTCTTTAAAGTTGAAACTGAAAACAAATTCTCCTTCATGACCTGTCCGTTCATCCTGAACGCCGTCACCAAGAACCTGGGTCTGTACTACGACAACCGCATCCGCATGTACAGCGAGCGGCGGATCACGGTGCTCTACAGCTTGGTGCAGGGTCAGCAGCTCAACCCTTACCTGAGGCTCAAAGTGCGCAGAGACCACATCATTGACGATGCTCTGGTCAGGGTATGTGCATTCAAACCGACTTCAGTGTCCCTTTGATTAGTTGGGCTTTGGATGGTTTCAATTCAATTTTATTTATATTGCATAATATCACAGCTACAGTCGCCTCAAGGCGCTAATGTTTGTGAACGTTTCTTCTGTGTGTGTCTGCAGCTGGAAATGATAGCAATGGAAAATCCTGCAGACTTGAAGAAGCAGCTGTATGTGGAGTTTGAAGGAGAGCAAGGTGTCGATGAAGGAGGTGTTTCCAAAGAATTCTTTCAGCTGGTGGTGGAGGAGATCTTCAACCCAGATATTGGTAAGAAAGCATCGCGAGCAGTTTAGTTTCAGATGGCTTTAAACAAGCGTCGCACATACACGTTGAACTGCTGATGCTGGCTTAATAATTCACCTTGAACTTGGACCTGAGTGTGAAGCTGCGGCAGTACGTGTCTGCTGCTTGGACTTTACCACAGTTCAGTCCAGCTGCTGTCACGGTCCAGCTCTGTGGGCGATACACAGCAGCGTGGCACTAACACAGCATGCAGGGCTGGATTTGAGAGCGTTCACTGTCGGCCCATCAGAATCCATTCAGATCCTTGGTCGGAGTGATCTGGTCTTTCTTAGAATTGTTTCCGGTCAGCCCCCCTTTCAGGATTTCATAGATATCGCTGCTGCACTGCTAACTGAACCCGGATCTCTGACTGGCTTTTCAAAGCCTAGTTTTAGGAAACTGGAAAGTAAAGTTTGTGGGGGTTTTGCGTCCTGATTTCTTCCACCTAAAGTGTGTCAGCTGTCATGTTATCGAACTGTCTCTGGTCAAAGTTGTCTGAAAGACGTCCTTCCAGACCTGAGAGGGTTCTCATGTTCCCAGTGAGGTCTAATGGAAACGAGCTGAGTAGTTTTTAGCTAACTTGACAACAGACAAACACAGTGATAGAGAGCAGGGAAAACCGATGTGTTGCTTTTTCCGTGTGCACATGGAGCGTCTCTCGCGTGGCTGCTTCGTATCCCAGGATTCACGGGCGTGTGCTCTGTTTTTCTTGCTGCAGGCATGTTCACGTATGATGAGCACACCAAACTGTTCTGGTTCAACCCGTCGTCGTTTGAAAATGAGGGCCAGTACACACTGATTGGCATCGTTCTCGGTTTGGCCATCTATAACAACTGTATCCTGGATGTCCACTTTCCCATGGTGGTCTACAGGAAGTTAATGGGCAAGAAAGGAACTTTCAGGGACTTGGCTGATGCCAACCCGGTAAGCATCACCTAAGCAGCTGTTTGTGCTGTGTTTTTGCTGTTTTTTCTGTCTAATTGATTTAGTTTGGGAGGAAAAGCAGCCATGTCTGTCATATCATGTATGCTAATGCTGATGTTATGCTAATTATAACGTGTTGATTGTCCTGAACCGCTGGACAGGTTTTATACCAGAGTCTGAAGGAGCTCCTGGAGTATGAGGGCAGCGTGGAGGAGGACATGATGATCACGTTCCAGATTTCTCATACGGACCTGTTTGGGAATGCACTCATGTACGATTTAAGGGAAAATGGGGACAAGATTCCCGTCACCAATGAAAACAGAAAGGTGAGCTGAAGAGAACCGTGGAGCCGTTTGTCCTCCTACGACACGCACAGGCAAAGTGTGCTTTTCCACTTCATTCAGCTTATCTGACCCAAACCTTTCTGCTGATTGTGATTTATTAAGAGGGCGGAGCTTTAGGGTTGCATGATCCTGTGGTAGCACCTGGGCAGGTCATTGTGTGCAGGTCCTGAAACTGTTACCATGGGAAGTTATTGAGCTGGTTAGTGCACAGTCCCAGTTAGGAGCAGTCTCCCAGACATGGCTGCACCATGTTTACGTCTGGACTCCTCCTGGGATCAATAAAGCTTCTGTCTATGTCAGCCTGTAAAAAGATGGCAGTGACATTTTTTCAGCCTTCTAAACCTGAAGTTTGGCCACATTTTCAATATTAGAAGAGAACCTGAGGAAAGCTGCTTCGCTGCCACCACTCGAAGGTAAGCTGACTTTCAGCTCACTGTCACAAACCGTCATAGCTTCTCAAAATCTGATTGGAAGAGATTTGATGGCACTGATGCTGTTTAATGTTTACTATTTACAGCTGTCATCGGTGCTTTCTGGTAAGGCTTGATGCCTCTTTTCACTGGTTTAAACTCCATCTGGATGTCTTCCATTCAAATTGAGTAGCTCCTCAGCGTGCATGGGCTCGTTACAGCAACACGGCTAAAAGTCCCGTTGTATGCGGCACAAACGCAACAATGGAGGTTGCCGAGGCGATGGGGACTCGGGGTGCACGGTGTTGCCATGTCCTTATAAAATATTGACTGTGCACTATCAGCTCTCATTGTTTACAACACTGTACTTCTTGTTGTTTCCAGCTACTGGTGGTTTGTTTTTGATAAAAATGGAAATGTTAAAAGTAACACAAAGATAAGGGATGACATGGTGTTCAAGGCCGGCCGCCCCTCAGAGCTCGCGTTTGTTAAACGTTCTCATTGATGTGTGTTCATATAGGAGTTTGTTGCACAGTATTCAGAGTACATTCTGAACAAAAGCGTGGAGAAGCAGTTCAAGGCGTTCAGGAGAGGCTTCCACATGGTCACCAACGAGTCTCCGCTCAAGTACCTGTTCAGACCAGAGGAGATCGAGCTCCTGATTTGTGGAAGCAGGGTGAGAGTTTTTTAATGGATGTTTGTATATGCTAGTGATGTCATTCAGTCATTCATTCATGTTTTGTCTCCCACTGTAGAACCTGGACTTCCTAGCACTTGAAGAAACAACAGAATACGACGGAGGTTATAACAGAGATTCTCGGATAATCAAGTAAGAATCTGACCTGAAAACCAAGCTCAGCGCGCTGTGTCTAATTTTTATAACCCAGCTCAAAGTCCACACTAATCAAAGGCATTTTTATATCATCATAAAGTCACAGCCCACAATCAAAAGCAGTGGAGACCAGTTCTCACCATGTGGCCCTCCAGCAGACGGATACTCAGTGCTTCACAGTAGGGCTGGGTATCCTCACTGATTCCATTTGAATCGGGGAACTTTTGCCGCAGTCAGAAATATTACAATTCTTATCATTTATCAGTACGTATCCATATTTTTATATCTATAAAAAGAAAACTGACACTTGTGAGACTTTATCACAGGTGTGAGCATCACAGCGAGGCCTTTGTGTCAAAGTAGCTGAAGATGAAACACAGAAAAACATGAAGGTGGTTTTCCTGGTCTGGGATTTATACAAATATTCTGCAGTACATCAAAAACGAAAGAAAACCATTAATCAACACATGAACATGACCTGATGCTGCTGAAGTGAAGCAGAGCAAAGTCACAGAGGTTTGATTAGAGACACAGAGTTTTGCAATTTTGCATAATTTTAAAAAGTTTAAATTTGTTCAGTGTTGAACAGCAGAAATGAGGTTTTGTTTTCAGAAGTAAGTAAAAGGAAAAACGGCGTCCGACAGGCTGCAAACAACGGTAGACTGGTGCGTAACAGCGCTTTGTGTTTACGTCTCCGTGCAGAGTCCGTGTTCCTGCTCTCATTCACTGTTTCAGCTGTTTGGTGGTTGTAGAAAGTTTGTGAGGTTTAACCTGAGATTCTGGCGTTTTGGCCAAAATACATTTATATTTAAAAATCGATTCAGGATTTAATAAATCGATATCACGTTATCCAAGCCAGAATCTATTTTCATCGATAATCAAAACTCAGCCCCACTTCACAGGACTGCAGTGTGGGGGAAAGCTCCCCACACTGGGTGTGTGGATTTAAACCTTCAAAACCAGCTCTGCTTGGACTGGTTCTTCCAGTAGTGACGTGTGAGGCCGCTTGTTTCCTCGCCGATCCCATAAATGGGATTGTGTAGTTTTAAGGCTGCTGTGAATTCCTCTCAAACATCAACACAAACAGCTGAGCCTAAATGTAAGTCACTGTCCTAAATTCAGCAGCAGCGCTGCAGGTTGCCACCAGCGCCACACCTGCAGCACCGAAGGACGCCAGGGGCAGCGTTTGTCTCGCCCTAGCAACACCCGTCCCGCTGCTCCTTCAGTTCGCCTCATCATAAACTCATCATCTTATTCTGTGTTATAATTGACTTTTGTGTTTGACAAGGTTTGTGGCCTCGCCACACATGACTCTGCTTACGAACATCCACTGAGCGAGCGAGCACACGTGAGGCGTGATGCATTTTTACAGCCATAATTTGCATGTCACTGTGACAGGCGGAAGAAGAAGTAGTTCCTACCAGTCATTTATATGATCCTAACGATAAAGTCCAGTGTTCCTGTTAATGATGGACTACAGATGTCGATATTTTAATCTGAGAACCAATTGTAGAACATAAGAATCAATATTTCAGTAACACGTTAGCTGCAGTAAAGTGTTAGCTGGGTTCACTGAGGCTGTGTATCTGTGGCTGACTGTGGAGGCGCTCCCAGGAGAGCCCCAACAAACACCTGGAGCAGGTGAGACGGCAGAAGCGTGAGCTGATGTGATCGCAACATGTTTCCTGCTTTGCTCAAAGTTCGTCTCCATCACGCTGCTCGTCTCTGTTCCTGCACAGAGTGCAGCTACACAGCCTCTCAGCTTTTAACAGACCATAACTAGCAATTCCCAGCATGCAACTGGGCAAGTGGGAACGTGTTAATTGACAATTATTATTGTGAAGTTGATGAAGGAGGAGGAAACAGTATGCCATGTTGGCCCATTATCAGCTCCAGTCAGTGCTGCACAGCTCGGCCCAGTCTGCAGGTGCATTTCCACTGCATGCACTCCTGCACCCGAGACTGCGAACAGACCAGAATAGGCCTTTATTGTCACTGTACATGTGCAACGATGATGTGAGTGCTCCACACCAACTGTGCAGTTATAAAAAGTATGAATAGTAGATGCAGGAAGAAATGACAAACATGAGAAATATATCCAAACGAGGAGGGGTGCGGCGGGCGCGGTGCGAGCGCGGTCCGTGTGTGACGGGCCTGACACTCACTGGGCCTCAGCGCCTGACATCAGCACTGCCTCCTCCTCAGTGTGCAGCTGCAGCCTCGTCACCAGGCGCAGACTCCACCTGAGAAAACATGAGTTTACTTTGGAAGACCAAAAATATGCAAAGACTGAAACCTCGCTCACCGTTAACCTGTATGTTTAAACGGCGCACATACGTCTGTGCATCCACTGGCTATGTTTTGAAACTGAATTCATATATATTTGATGAAGGCGTTTCCTCGTGTTTGTGTCGTAGGGAGTTTTGGGAGACGTTGCACTCATTTGGCGAGGAGCAGAAACGCCTCTTCCTACAGTTCACCACCGGCACCGACAGAGCGCCTGTGGGTGGGCTGGGCAAGCTGAAGATGATCATCGCCAAGAACGGCCCCGACACAGACAGGTGAGCCGCAGCCGTTCCGTTTCCTGTCCCTCTTCTGTTGTGGTGCGCGGGCTGCATGCGCTCTGCTTCCTGCTAGTGACTGAAGCTCGAAAGTCTTTATGCACAGCTGACTGTGTCCTTGTTTCAGCAGCAGGAGTCCAGTACAGTGTTTAAAATGTACATGCTTATCAGTAAGTAGACATGAGAGGACGTGGCTTATTACGAGTCATCACATGTTGTAAAAACGATGAGGAAGCTGATCAGTGCAGGTATCTCGAGAAACTGGCATGACTGTTATGAAGTGTGAACACACTGGAAGGATGAACCAGTTAAAGCCAGTCTGTTTTTGTTGGACATAAAGGACACAGGTTGTGACAGCAGCAGGCATCGCAGCCCTTTGTGCAGCTGTCGGCCTGTATACTTCCTGTATTTTGTCTCTGCATACACTCGGTGTTGCTGTGTGACGATTTGCTTTGTTCCTGACGTGTTGTCTCTGTGATGTGTGGTTTCTCGGCAGGTTACCGACTTCTCACACTTGCTTTAACGTGCTGCTGCTGCCCGAGTACAACAGCAAGGAGAAGCTGAGGGAGAGACTGCTGAAAGCCATCACCTATGCCAAAGGGTTTGGCATGCTCTGAACCCCTGCTCCCAACAGACTCCTTCTCAGAAAGCCCATAAACCCTGCCCTGCCCTTCCTGTATCAGACACAATCTCAAAGATGACCAGACAGGCCAGAGTATGTTCGAGGAAAAGCAAGTGAATAATGAAAGTGGATACGTGGTTCTAATAAATCTCTCTAATAGATCCGCTGCTGTGCCTGCATCATCACACATCAGTCAGTGTAAACGTAGAGACCTCCTCGAGTACCCGCTCCCACATCCACACATGTGAATGTGCTTTCTGTGTACAGAAAGGATCATTTTCCTCGTTATTTATTTGAAGGGTCACGTTTTTCATGCCTGCCTGTTGTGATAAATGTAAAAGAAATAATGCAAATACGGGACGATGCGTTTCCAACTCGATAAACTCGGCGACAAAGTACCCCTGAACTCTTGCCCACAGCTCCCACAGAGATTTAGTTTAGTGTTCGCTACTGCATCGTATTCCCCACTGACCATTCCACTCTAGCGTAGTCATTGCTTGTTGTTTCCACCCAGTCTGTTTTGAGGTGAGCGCGTGGAAAGAGATTGGGTCCAGGACGGCACATCACATAGCTTGTTCTCCTTCTCAGTTTCGGGCCTTCTTCCTTTGGGGGACATGCAGAGATGTGTAAGTGCACTTAGACATTTTCAGAATGTTTGTTCTTTGGTCACAGGTTGCCATTATTGTTCGTTTTATTTCCTTGTCTGCCTGTGTTGAGGATTCTAAATAAAATCAGTGTTTATATATCAGTGCATACCGTACCCACGCTGTGGAGGATGTACACATGTAGACTGAGTCTCAGATGCTCTCCTTGTGCCAACCTGTACAGCGGACAGGTAGAAGCCCAGCACGTACTCGGTGTCGTCTGCTTTGGGTTCAGTCTCGTAGAAACGGCTCACGCTGCATAGCCCCCCCCTCCCGTCTGCAGACCTGATAAAGCTTTGTCTGTTGCTGTGGTTATACCTGGAACCTAACGAGACCATCCTAGTTCACGGTGGCGTGAGTAGTTTCCTTTGCCGTGGGAGTGTAAAGCTGGACTTTGATCTGGTCATCTCCCGCTGATGAAACATCTCCCTAATATGTCTTCTCGTTTGCATCCAGGAGCCGTGAGGCGAGCTCTCCTCTCAGTTTGTCTCTTTGAGGGTGAAAGAGGCCGTGCTCGCCGTGCTCGCCGTGCTCGCCGTGCGCCTGCTGCCGCTTTGTTTTGTAAGCTTGGCCTGACTTGCTGTGGACCTTCATACCTCTCTGTTTACAGCACAGATAACACAGGTGTGTCTGCTGTGACTGTGTGGACACGTCGCTGTGACCTGATCAGTGAAACAGGTGTAACCACTGTTGAAAAAGTGCTTTGTCTCTAATAAGGACTGTGAAATCATTTCCCCTCACAACAGGCAACGCGTCCTGTTGTGAATGCTTTTCCTCCTCAATAGGCTGCGTAATGTTCTCGGACACAGAATCGTCTCGCTGCTTCAAAGTTCGGTTGTCTTTTTAAACATCCCGCTGCTGTTGTGTAGTCTGCAATATCCATCCTCTGACACAGTCGGCAGACGTCCTCGGGTCAGGCAGCACGGCCGTCACACAGAGGCAGGCTTACAGCAACGCTTTGCCCAAATCGCTGACATCACTCACTTGGAGGTGAAAACGCCACTTTGGCAACAGCTCATGTCACCATGGTAATAAGGGTACCATGTAAAATAGCTGCTCCATCAGCAGACAGTTGTTTTAAATGCTTGATGGTCATCGAGTTGCATTTGTAAAATGTTGGAAGACACTGAGATACGCTCCCCTGCATCTACATCCATGTCTGTAGGAACATGGAGAGAGGGCGAAGGAGTTGCTAAACCTGCAAACTACCTGGATGTCTTACTTACAACTGAGTGGTTGTGATCGTTTGGACAAACTGGGCATAAACATGCACGTGAAGCTTGCTGTCATTGAAAGCTTTCCTTTGTGTGACCTCACAGCTCCTACACGCAGCAGGCTCAGGTGTCCACGTGCGTACTTCCTTATGAGGTACTGGGTGGTATCGTTCTGTGTACAGAGACCGTTTGTGGCGTGTAACGTGACCTCACTCCTCCAGCCGCTGTGGTTAAAGGTCTGAGAACAGATGATGGCATGGAAGAGGTCAAAGACCATGGACCCGAGTGTGTGGACTGCATCACGGCTATTGCCAGAAACCATCTTTGAACAGAGAGCGCTTAACGTCATATAACCCTGAATGTGTCATGTGACTGTACCTGCAGTCTGGTAAAGCCGTTCAGAGCAAACGTGTACGCTTGTGGCGGTTGGCTGGAGGTGGGGGTCAGTGGTTTGTCCCTCAGACGCTGAAGTCGTTGCTGCGTGGCTGACGTACCTTATAGAGGAGCGCGTGGAGCGCCACGATGCCCACAACATACCACTGAGAGCACAGTGCTCAGCACTGCCATCCACCAACCTCAGCCAGTCTTTATCTCCTCTTCCTTTCCTCCTCCCTCATCAGCTACTCCTAACACTAGTTTAGCCTTCGTCTGAGTCGCAGTACTAGGAGTGCCTAAAAATGTGGACAGCACTGCACTGTGCTGGGAAGTCACTACAGAGCACAGTGTGCGTGCATTGTTCTACGTACTGCAGTAATGCTCACTCATGTGGAAGGCTAAGCAGTACAGCCAGGTGTAGTTTCAGCTGTGTAACCTTACCCGTACCTCCATGTTTGAATGCTGAAGATGCTGCTTGCTGCACACGTGAGCCGACTCAAGGTTAAGGGGTGGACCTGTCTGGGAACGGGAGGCAGATTTCCTCAATTGGTTCAATCAACAGTTAAATTCTCCCACATAGAAACAGGTGAAAGGCTCAAAGTATTCATTGTTGTGAAACATGCTAAATAAAGACGACTGCTTTTTTCCAACAAGCCTGATTTGACTCCACAGGTTTCTTGGTGTCCCGATTTCAGAGCAGGCCCAAACATCACGCCACAGAGATGCAATAAGGCAAAGTGTGTGGGATAAAATCTTTTTTACTTTCGATGAGCAGGACGTGGATCCTGTTAGGTAATGTTTCCTGTGGCACTCGATGCGACGTGCCTCGTTCGCCTGCTCACGTGGATCGGAGACTCGGGGTAAGGATCTTGTCCAAGGATATTTGTACCTCCTGAGCTGCTCTCTGGGTGACGTTGAAGGGTGGACATTCTTAAATTTGGGTGGGTCAATGAAATGGTCATTTTGGTTGGTTCTAATGATGGGTTATACACAGAAATGTGCTTGTTGCATTCTTTTGAAAGCTTATTCGCGCTGTGTGCTGGACTGTGTTTGGAAACAAGAAGCAGGCAGACAGCAGTAACATTCTTGTAATTCTTACAAATAAATGCCAGCTGTAGTTGTTTGTATAGACTGGCATCGATTTAAAAGACTGCATGTGTAAGTATGACTTTATTCCTCACTCCAAAAAGTTCAGAGAAGAATCAGGATGACATGAAGAGCCAGAAGATGATGACACAGCCAGCAGAAGAACTGTGGCAAGCTCATCATATTCAGTTCCTTTATTATGAGTTATTTTTTTTATAGTAGGAAAAACAAAAGAATACAATTCTCAAGAGAATGAGGAAATCCATCAGCAGACAGCTAAAGATCTCACATGACTAATGCCCATCCATCCATCTTCTTCTGCCTCTCTGGGGCCGGGTCGCGGGGGCAGCAGCCTAAGCAGAGAAGCCCAGGCCTCCCTCTCCACAGCCACCTCCTCCAGCTTATCCAGGGAACACCGAGGCGTTCCCAGGCCAGCTGAGATATAATCTCTCCAGCGTGTCCTGGGTCTGTCCCGGGGCCGCCTCCTGCCCCGAACACCTCACCCAGGAGGCATCCATGTCAACTAATGTCACCACTGTTAATCATACATACGACATTAAAAGAAACAATTCTTTGGTTTGCACTTTAATATTTTGGAACAACAAAACTTATTTTCTTTGAAATAAAGCGTGCAAACTCTTTTTGCTTACTAAACTGAAATTGCTCATGCTTGCAGTAGATGCTTCCTCAGTGACACCTGCAGAGCTCTGGAATCTAAGCTTTCACTGCCTCGTGCACATTCGTGTTCCTTCATGCTGACTAAGATCGTTCACAGGAGCCTAACTGATCAAATGTTGAATATAAAAGCAGAAATGGAAATCATAAACCCTGGACTTCAAACTGAAGCCTGCGTGGAAGTGCCAAAAACTGCAGCTCCTGTAGTCATTCCCCACAGACTCCAATTTCAGATGTGAAAATGACTTGTAAAAACAGTTGGTGTCTATTGTTTGTTGAGGCTTAAAGTTAGGGCAGATGTACCAACATGTGCAGTCTGCATGGCCCTACTTCTGCTAACATGACTCAGTGAAATTAAAGTCTGCTCGGATTGAGGCTTTGGAGCATGTTTCAGGGGAAAGGATAAACCACTTTTCAAGAGTTTATTGTCACTTTATTATTTTTAAATTTATTTACAGAAAGCACATTTCTTTATATTTAAAATAAAAAATTTGATGATACATATTTTGAAATGCTTTTATAATATTTGTGTAGGTGTACAGAGGCCCATTCAGCAGATATGTTCCAGTGGAACCTCCTGATCTATGTTCATCATGGTAAAGACTGCCTGAGCTTTAGAAAAAAACTGTTGTCAAAAATATCAGCACAGCAGTTTGCAGCTGTGCTGAAGGATGAGGCGGTCAGTTAAGAGCAAGAAAACCGTTACCAGCTTGATTCCAGCTGCAGACACGAATCCGTTCAAGGTTGCATCTGGCATAAAACTGTCAGTCATCTCAACACACAGAGGCGAAGCAGCAACAAAGAGCAGCTGTTAAATCTCCAGATCTGGTTGCAGTTTCAAATCGCTCTCTCGCACTTTAATGACCAGAACTGAAACTTGTCGGTGTGGTCTTGTTCTTCTAAATGAATGTAGAAAATATTCATCAAAGGTCCTTTTTAGAATTCTTTTGACTAATTGCGTCCTTCAGAAGAGTTATTCTGATCACAATAGGAGAAGGTCCTGTATGTGCAAAGCCCAGGTCATGGTGTCGTTGCTGAACGAGCCGCTCTGGGATTCTGGGCAGAGTAGTAAAGAAAACGTTTCCCACCAGTATTGGTTGGATGCTCACACCGATGCTAAAGTAGTGCTCCTTTAGAACCTGCTTGACTGCTGCTGTTGATTGGTGGCAGCTTTGTCTTTGCTTTTATTCCAGGTTTGTCCCTCCACATGTTTCTGATCATCGCGTGCAGCCTGTTATTGTTATCACTAACACAAGAAAAGACATAATGATCCACGTGGTGGTACGACCCGTTGTTGTTGTCTATGTGTGGAAACATTGTTTGAGGGCAGTCTTATTATTTTTGCATCTTTGGAAGTACTGAGCGGATGCAGTGTTCTAGTCCCTGTAAAGAAGACACTCCCTATGTAGTACTGATGGCCAACCTCTACTCATCTACTCTGAGGCTTCTGAACTGGTTTGATAAATTACTGAGGCGCTGCTTGAGTTTACGCTGAGAGGAATCGTATTGATTTGTCAGCTTTCGAAATTTTGCTGACATGATTTCGAAACTGGCTTCAATCTGATCGACTTTGTTCTCCAAGTCTTTAGCATCGGTAGCAGCGACAAGCGACTCATCTATGAGATTGTCTTTCATCAGAATGGCCCTTCCTTTCTCCTCCAGAGCATTCTTAGCATCAGGATACTCTGTTAGTGCCTCCATGAGATCATCTTTGGACAGGGCAAAGAGATCAGAATAGCCCACGCTTCGAATGTTAGCTGTTCTTCGGTTACCTGCCTTACTACCTTTGATCCCAAGGATGCTGATTTCTCCAAAATAAGCTCCGTCACTAAGGACCACAAACTGGGTAACACCATCATCTGCTACTACAGCGAGCTTTCCTTCTTTGATGATATACATTTCCCTACCAATATCCCCTTTCTTACAGATGTAATCCCCAGGACTGAAAACTTGAGGCTGAAGCTTCAGGACCAACTCAATAAGCAAACCAGCTTCACAGTCTTGAAAGATGCGCACTTTTCTTAGGGTTTCCAGATGTACGTTAATGGCTATCTCTGCCTTCAGCTTGTCTGGCAGATTTTTTAACACCTGCTTTTCATCGCAGGTTTTCCCCTCAGTCCACAGGTAGTCAAACCACTTCACCACCCTCGCCTCCAAGTCTTTAGTGACCTTTCGAAATTGCATGTACTGCTTGATAGAGTCGATCTTCGCCTGGAACTCTACACGTGCAGCATTCATGTTGGAGATCATGGCTCCAACATTTCCAACAATTGTTGCAAAGATCAAAACCCCAGTAAGAAAGTCAACCACGACAAAAAAGTATTCAACGTCTCGGACCGGCGGTGGTGTCTCACCAATAGTGGTCAAGGTAAGAGTGGACCAGTAAAAGGAATAAATGTACTGTCTGGACAGCTGAGAAAACTCTGGTTTTTTCGGCCCGGGGTAGACCCATGTGTCTGACCCAAAACCAAGTATTTTTGAGACGGCAAAGTACAGGCACCCATTCCAGTGGATGATGATGATGATGTAAAGTACAAGATTAGCGATTCGGAAGATGTTTGGAAAATTGGTTCGCGTTTCAGTCCGGTCGAAGAACTCAAAGAGACGGCCTAACCTAAACAGCCGGTTGAACCTCCACTCTGGGTTGTTGATTCCGATATAGAAGAAAACAATGTCAGTAGGAATCACTGATAACATGTCTAACTTGAACTGGGGTGTCTTCATGTACTTTTCCTTCAGGATCTTTGCGTCCTTTACAAGAAGTCCTTGCTCCAGAAAACCTATTGACAAAGAAGAAAACGATAGTCATTATCATATACTGCATTGAAGATTTTATATAATGACAAACTGAAAATCTTAAGTTTCCATCAGTACCTGTCCTGGCTCTCACAAAGATGTCCATGCAGTAGAGGGCATCTGACACATAGTCCAAAACCAGCCAGAGTGTTGAATTTTGAAACTGTAGCTCATTAAAACAAGCTCTGTATGGAAACAAACCATGACTGAGACCCATGAACACTAACAACGATAAGAGAAGATACTAAATACATGAATTCAAACCTTGCCACCAGGAACATCAGATTGTAGAACACTGGGACAGCTATTGTGAGCAACCAGTAGTAATACATATCCGTGGCTGGGTCCATGATCCACACCTCCTTCCTAAATGAGAAGAAGTTCCCTTTTAATAAAAGTATGTATTTTTTTTTAATTAAAAAAAGTTTGAAATGCAATGTGAGCTTAATTTTGTCAGTAGTCACAGCCGATCTGCAGCCTGGTTCATGGATAAAGTGTATATTACCTAACTGATTGCAGAGTAGTTTCTGGAGGTTTCAAAGAGGTAATGTGCACATGCAAAAAAAGCAGTCCTACATATTTGTTTAATATGTGCATTGAAGGACATGTCCTGGTCAAACATGACTCCAAGGTTCCTCACAGTGTTACTGGAGGCCAAGGTAATGCCATCCAGAGTAAGAATCTG